AAAAAGGAGAGGTTTTTCATGGTTACATACAGCACAGAGAACACTCATTAATCCAATTTATGAGCAAGCAAATATACTCTTCTCCCCTTAACCACCATAAAATCACAACAAAATTTTTTTCTGCCTCATTTGAAGCACAACAATTTGAAGTTCTTTTCAGGCTCATCTGAGCCCCAACAACCTTAACTTCTTTTAAGTGTGCTAGCTATAAAATCCGGATTTCTTGTGTAGGAGCCTCATTATCATAATTCATTCTATTTCCTCATGCACAGATCTTGCTACGTAATACCTCTGTAAGTTCCAGTAAATGTGATCAATGACTATTTTGCTTTGCTTTTTGTGTGCTTGTTTTCTAAGTTTGCTAGCTACAAAATTCGGAATTCTTTTCAGTTTTCAGTTTGAACCCCATTTTTACTATATCTGCTGTTCATTCTTGCACAGAACTTGCTACGTTGTTGAATTAAGTAAGTTTCAGTTATATGATTTAAAGATTATTCTTTNTTTTGTAAAAATCGAACTCAGATAATCTTGTTAAACATATGGATTTCTGTCATTCTTATGAATCGATCTATGTTGAAATCCAAGAAATGCATCAGATTTGTTTCTAGTCTGAACGATGAATCATATGCCGAATTAAACTGATGTACCTGTAGCCATGAACGTTTAGTTTTAACAAATCCATATTTCTGTTGAATGCTGAACTTTAATTTATTTTATTTTTTTTCCAGGGAAAAGCTTTATTTGAACTAGAGAAATGGACAACTTCAACAACAACAGAAGTGGCAAAAGACCTCTTGATCTCACGCTGAGACTCAGACCAGCGAGTCCCGAAACCGAAAGAGATGAAGAAATCGAAGCTGCCAACAACAGTGTACATACGAGTCTTTCAAACATGGTAATCGCTTAATGAGCATGTTTACTTTGGAAAAATCTTCCCTTTCTTGGAAAATATATCATATTTAAGAATCTCTAAGATAAAATCAAATATACAGAACATATTATTGTGCTATAGCTGCACCGGCAACGAGAATTGACGTATTGCGGACTTGGTGATTTTTTAGCAAATTTTATGTTGTTCTCTCATTTAACAATATATTAAGAGAAAAATTATTCAAGTTATAAAGTCGTAATAAAATATTGGCATAACATAAATGATGCAAAGCAGGGATATGATGTAACTTCGAGTTCCAGGCTGGCAGTTGGCTCGTACAACTACTGTGTTATAAAGCCAGCTCGTGTTCGTGTGAATCGTGGAAGAGTTTATGATGGGAGAATATGCCAAGGATGTGGACGTTGGAGCACCCCTTTGTGGAGAAAAGGTCCCGATGGTCCACAAGTCAGTTTATTTCATATTGCTATATATCTTTTTTTGTTATATATCTGATTT